CTGTATAATAGAGCCACACATAACAGCACTTAAATTGTGAAAACAGAATTGGAAATTGAATTTTTTTTAAAACTCTGAATCCAAATCCAATCATCTCGAGCTTTTTAATTGGAATTTTTTCTGTTGTTTCATTCACTTTCTCTTCTCTTATCATGTAAAAAGGCATTAAAAAATTAAACGAATCCCCAGTTTAGAAAGATCGCTAATCTCTTCGTTCTTAAGAATTTTCTAAGTGTTTCGTAAGAAGAACGTCACTTTGATCTTTGGTTCGAACTCATCACGAATATTAAAATTTAATACGTATTTTATTAGAAAAATCGTTAATCTTAGTTAGTTCAGTATCTAATTCAAAATCTTTCCAGTAAATGAGTATCATGTATCTAGGTTCATTGATGCATAATCGTAGATATAAAAATCACTTTGTACTAAATGAATTATCTAAAATTTTCTAAAATGACTGAAAAAGACACATCAAAGATTCTAGTAAATTATATAGAAATGAATGCAGAACATCCAAGTGAAGTATTTGCCATTTTTTGAGGAAATGTATCAGTTTACGATGACAGTATTCTAGATGAAACTCTTTGAAAATTGATGTTGAATCACTCAATATCATCCATGATAATCCATGATACTGTTTAATTATGCTCTAAATTTCATGTTCATCTTCATCTGCGGAAAACAATTACCGTGAGTTATTCAAAAGACAATAAATAGCTTCTTTGTCCTGCTGTCTTTCTGATATTAGAAACAAATGGAAAATTATGCTTATCATGCTGAAGTAACTGGAAAACAGTTATACTATATTTGTCTTTCGGCTGTTCTTCAAATTCCTTCAACTTTTAGAAAATTCAGAATGTTTTCCGGTGTGAATCTTTTGAAGAATCCGCTCTCGAAGCCGTGAATCACTCGCTAGCTTATTTTTTATTACCGCGTTATCTGTTTCCTGAAAAATGACAAACGATGAAACAAGATGAGCACCAAAAATGTGTTTGTTCATTAAAAAAATTGTTTCTGCTGCAGAAAACGCGCGATGCAAGATTTTTCCTCAGCCAAAGATAATAAACATACGTCAACGTAACAGATGTCTTCCTGGACCGGCGGACTTTGTCAACATATGTAAAAGAGCTGATTTCTTGTTAAAAAAAAAAAAAAAATCACTAACGACTCCGTGCAGGAATACAGCAATTATTTTAATTATTGTTTGCGTGATAACGATGAAAACTTCTAACTTTTCTTTTCTAAATTTTACTAATAGATGAACTCATTCAGTTAACTCTGATTTTGCCTTGATAATTTGCCGTTTAACACGTTGACTGCCTGCCACTGGGTATACGTACTATCTGACCTCAGACTGCCAACGCAAGTTGTACCATTCCTTTATCGTACTGTTAATGAGTGCCCGTTGTTCTTGTGCACTCGGACTGTGGGATATTGTTTCGCATGACAGAAAACCGTTTAGTTTCAAACAGCTCGCAGAAATTAAGAATCTTCAGTGGTTTATTTCTCTTCTAATATATTAGGATACATTTTGAACATTAAGTCGTTGGTACCGTTTCATTGTTAACAAACACTGCGGCATCCCCCATTCGTACTGTTGTGGTGTAAAACCGGTATTACATCAACTAACTTTTCGGAAATATTTTTTTTCTTTTTTCTGGATGTCCGATTGGTTGACTACGAGGAACGGAGCTTTAAGAGAAATATTTTCATCTCAATTGGAAAACTGCCCACGTAGCTAGCCGGGACATCGGTTCCAGGGAACCTGTTTCGGGTAGGAATCTTCTGTGGTAGGAAAAAGAGAAGCTCGATTCTCGGAAAAGGCTCTCCTAGCGTCATGTGCGTCGTTTTGATGTAATAACACCATAAGTAGTTGGGACATCCAGCTAACCCAAGATGATCCGTGGTGTGAATAAGTTCATTTTAACTCTGGGCACATTTGATTTTTCGTGCTTTGCTCACCGAAACGTAGTATACTCAAAACGTTTGTTCGTAAATCGTCATCCTTTCCTAAACCCGAATTTCACCACTTTGCTTTTCAAGATTCGAAGAGCAATATAATTTTCTACCAATATCTTCCTTCTAAAGATTAATTTCTTCTTTCAAGCATTAGTTTATAGTTCCGAGGCCTGAAGTGTTTTCTTTCTATTCGTCTATGAATTTTTCTATTCGTCTTCTTTTAAAAATGTCTATGAATAAACATTTTTAAGCAATTAATTCCTGTGTTATTTCTTGTGCTTTATTTTTGTTTAAATGACTTGGAGGGAAAAGGGCTAAGAATTTTTATTTGGAACACTTAATTGAGGATGAAATAGATAAAAGCAGGAAAACTTGTGATGGGTTTTAATTGGCTCAATTTTGTAAAATTTATTCATAAAAACAGAAACTTTTACAGAAAAGTAACGGCTGCTTAAATGACGCTTATTATGAGTGAGGAAGGAAATTATTTTCTTTCTTTAAAGAATTATCGTCGTAATATTAAACAGAAAACATCAAAACTTTTTTTTCGGGTGCTACAAAGCATTATTTTAGTATCAGTAGATGCGAAAGCAAAGAAATTCTTCAAATGATACAAAGTTTGACAATTAAGCCTTTGCGGCACAGTGTGTCCGGACACACCTAAAATTTTCCTTCTGTACGCACAGAAAAATTGAATGAAAAAAGGATTTATAGGTTACTATAGGTTACTCTGAACCTTCTTTATTTTATAGTAGATGGCAGCTCATCACAAACCAGTCCATATATTTTAGCCATGTTTAGTTTTTTAAGACCCTCATTTTTCAACCAAATCTTCCAGATTATTTTAGGGTATAAAAGGAATTGTTTGAAAAGAAATTTCTATGTTTTTTTTTGGCTGTATACTAATCTCCTTATTCTATATTAGTTTTAAATTTTTACCTTGAAATCTTGCCTAAAATCAAGCGGCGAACCCTAGGTGTACCCGGACAGGGCTCACCGATAATCTAGGAGAACTGAGGGTCTGTATTCTTTGTTTCTCCGCATCTCATCGGTCAGTTCATTGACAACAATGCTCGTTTCAGCAGTCTTTTCGAAGCTCTATTCAATCAGTGTGCCACTTTGGGCACAACCACAGAATTAAAACGATAAGTGCTATCTTCATAAGATTTTACTTGTGTACTCCTCTAGGCCTAATTAGACTGCCTACCTTTCTATCAAAACTCCGACTTTAAAAGGTAGTGTGCCGGAAAGGGTTAAATAACGAGTACTTATTTGTAACACTAGAATTGGCCAAACTGACCCGAACTAATAGGGGTATGCCAAAGCAAATACATCGCAGCTGCCTACTAGGTTGCGCGATAGTAGCATTCAGAAGTGCAGAGTTAAAAGCTTCTTAAAACCTAGTACCTCTGGAACGTTTGTCAAGAGATGGCTGATACTAAAATCAATTAGAGAACTGTTGTGAAGCCGTTCGTTAAACAGGACGAAAAATTATCTGAAAATTTTAATCGGTGAACAATGCTTATCAAAAGCACGTATGCATGAATGGCCTCGTCGCTTCGAAAATGATCCAGAATGTTTGTATTTTTTTGTGGTTTGGAGCAGAGAGTTCCCTACCACCAAACCAAATCGTTAATCGTGAAGTTTCCGAGGGTTTTAGGCACGGAGTGTTGTACGAGTGGGGCCAGACTGGCCGAATAGAGATTGGATATTGCAGCATGATAACGCGTTACCTTATTCATCACTCTTGTTAACTAAATATTTGGGGGAAAAAATTATACACTTGTGTATTTGTTCGTACAGTTCAGATCTCGAACCGTGCAACTTTTTATCTTTTCAGAATATTGAAATCTAGAGTCTCAAAGGATATTAAAAGGAATATGACGTCGGTTTTGAGGCGCATGACTTTGCACGACCTATGCATCTAATATTTGTTACGCTAGCGCAGGCGCATTGTCTTGCAGGGGAATGGTTGTGAAGGAGATAATTTTTAGTTTATTGTTAATAATGTTGTTCTGTAAGAATGTTCTCATTCTTTAATTTTTGTACCTCGTATGCAGTTTATATTAGAGAAGGAAAAGAAGCCGAACCGTTGCTTCCTATTGTTAAACTGTTCCTCTCTGTAAGTTTCATAGGGAAAGCATAAGTTTAATATTTTCTGTATTGTATTATGATTTCAGTATAGACTGTTAAAATTTTGAAAGCTTCCATACGTTTTATTGTAGCACACTCGCTCTTTTACTTTATTATTTAGAGAAAAATATCTTGAAAGCAAGTACAAATGCGAAGGTAATGAAAGGTTATTTGTATAAAGAAAAAGAAATATTTAGAAAAGGTTATTTGTAATGAACTAATTAAAGAATTAAATGAAATTAAATTAAGGATCTAACTAAATTAATGTAAATTAGTGGGTAACTTAAATTAATTAATGAGTTAATTAAATTGAAGCGCTAAAAGACTTAAAATGTTATTACATATTGCAAAATAGCACTGATTAGAAAGTAATGGTAGTGGGAATTAATGGAAAAACTAATCATCTAACGCCAAGATTCAGTACATTTGTTTGACAATAGTTTGAGCAGAAATTTACAATAGTTTGGCTAAAAACGCTTTTTGTCGGTAATCAGTTGAATACGTTACCTTCTTTTGCTGAATTTAAATAGCTCGAAGCGAAGAAATTGGAAATTTTCATAGAAACTTGATCATGTTCGAAGCCTCAGAGTAAATAAATGAAGCAGAACAATTGGAAATTTTGGTGGGCTTTTTTCCCTCGCGAGTACACTTTTTTATCGTGTATTCTGATTTAATTTCTTTGTTAAGAAAACAATTTTAATTTCTTAAAACATTTAAATGTCAAACTCCAGTAATATCCACTTAGTTTAAGGGTAAATGATTACTTTTTCAAATTTTAATCACTCATTTTGTTACTGAGGAATCAAATTCCTCAATCACTTTTTTGACCGAAAAACTACGTATTTGTCTTTTAGCAAGATAAAGTAAACATATTTTATCCGCAACTAAATTGTTATTTTTACTTACAGGATAGCGGTCCAAATATTGTCGTTGAACAGGCTAATGATGTCTTGCAAGAGCTCAGCCAGAATGATCTCCATGGATTGGTCCCTGAAACAGAAGAGGAAGAGATTCTTCGACACATTTCAGATCCCGGATTCGAACTGGAAAGCATCTTCGCAGTCATTTCCAATGGCGAAACGAACACAAAAACCAATCAAGACGAAGAGAATGAGACAATTATTCTCTCTGCACAACAGTTCCAGCAACAGCTGGAAGAATTCGGGCAGCAGCAAGAACAGCAACAACAACAACAGCAGCAGCAGCAACAACAACAACAGAAAGATGAATCTATGGCCGTGGTCACATCTTCTTTTAATATGGCCGATTCATCATGCTTATACACCAGCGGCATCAGCAATATGGCCGTATCGAATCCTCTTCTGCATCAAAGGCTTACGTCAAATGTAACGCCTTCATTATCCTCTTCCAACAGCCAGGGACCAGGATCGAGCCTGCTAGCGTCAGTTCTAGCGTCCTCTTCCACAATCTCCACTTCTTCCTCATCCGGACCTTCAACTTCCAAAAAAACATTATCGACTTCCTCCACGGTGTCGTCGGTGATACCATCCTCGAGTACAGAAAGCTCAATGATAAAAGAAGAAGTCGTTCTTTGTAAGTACTTTTTAGATTAGCTTTGATGTTTTTATTTTTCCTTTTGTAATTACTTGTAATGAATCGAGGACCAAAAAAAAATGCTTTTATAATTCTTTAGTTATTTTCTTAAATTTATTGTGTTTTAGGCAGGGGACGTTAGCTTATTTCGCAAAACGTTATGCCAAAAAGTGTTTTTTTAAGGGAGATAGTTTATATATACCTATATTGAGTATGTTACTTCTGTTTAGAAAAATTAAAACATCAAGAAAATGCTAACAAACCAACCTGAAATTTGACTCATGTGTTAGTTATCATGAGAGATGCAAATGATTAAAATTTTATTTGCTTAAAAAAAATATATATATATATATATATACACGCACTTGAATTGAAATCTGACATCTGACTTGGAGGATATGAAAAGATCATAAAATTTAAATCTCAGTCATTATTAGGTGGGAAAGGAAACGAAAAATGAAAATTTGCACAGGCAATAAAAACATTCTAGAATGCTTATTATTTAAGCCTGTACAAAACATCTTCCTCCCCTGGATACATAATAGAAATAATTTTTCATCGCAAGAAGAAAACATTTGCTAAATTTAGCTTTGGTTAATTCAGCCTTCAAATCCAATCATTATACATATTTTTCCTTTTATTTTTGTCATGTGTAACTTAAATACAAATTTATTAGAAAGTAGCTTCCCATAGAAAGTAACTCTCTTATAATTTACGAAATTTATTAACTTATCCTCTATTTATCGGAATTCCATCAGTCAAATAAAACATTATTCAAATAAAACATTATTAAACTCATAAAAATATGTTTATAGAAATTTGAAATATCTAATTACTATATTTATGAAATAATTTTTCTCTAGCACCTTCTTTAAATCATAATTAACACATACAGACCAAGAATTATATTTCGGTATTTACCCATATTAAATGCTTTACTATTAAACAAAAAAATCATTTTAATTAAGTGATGTTATTTCATTTAGTTTATATATTATGTTCACAAAAGTCCTTATTTTCACAATCGTTAGTCGTAGACATGTACTTCCTGTTATAAAAGTGTTTTAAATGGCGCAAATATTCATATTGTGGCATTTTTAAAGATATCAGTTTTGCAAATTTACGAAATCTTAACTTTCTATATGCTGTCCTTATAATATTAAGGAAAATGTTACACTCATTATAAAAAATGAAACTCAAAATTTTCACTCCCCTACGACGAAAATTGATCGAGATTAGTTCCAAAATGTGCAATTTTTGACGTCATTTTCAATTTGTATTGAGGAGTCGGTTCATAAATCAATTAGAATAATTCGAGGTTGATCCCATTCCTCCTTAAATACCTTTTAATGATATTCTTTTGTTATTTACTAGTGCCTTTAATTTAAAATTTTGTTGCATTTGGTATGTCAAAAGAATTTTCAAACAAGAAATTTATTAGTTTAAATAGAAGTAATCTATTAGTTTTCAAAATCTAAAAAGTACATTATTTGTATTCTCGTGAATATTTATTACTTTTAAATCATAATTTGGCAATCTAATAAAAAATCATAAAACTACAAATATTTTTCATTTTTATTTCATGCAAATAATATTACAAGTTGGTTACATGCCAATACGAAAGCCTTTCGGTGTTTTCTAAAACACGAATTCTGTAAGATTCTGCGAATAAGATCTCCATTTTGAAGGAAAAAAATTACATCCATTAATACTTTTACAATAATCTACATTGAATTGCCTGTCATTTAAAATCAGAAAACTTTTTCTAAACTGATACTTTATTTTTAGTTACGTACAAATGAAAACATTTCGCAGTTCAGTCTTCCGACAGTAATATCAAACATAAGGGTAAATTTTTGTCTTACGAGAGTCACACTTACGAGATTTATTTTATTTATAACGAGTGTAAAGTTTTCCGAAATATAAATATGAAGACTGGAGGAACATTTAAAAAGTTAACTTTCGTACTCTAACCAAAATTGATTTCTTTAAATTTAAAAATGCAAAAACGTGATTATTTGCGTCATTTAAAATATTTTTGTAGTTAGAAATGTATGTCTACAACCAGTGGTTGCGAAAATAAAGGCTGGGTAAGGCCTTTTGTAGACATAATGTATATATTTTATATATTTCTTATATTCATAGATTTATTTTTTAACTTCCTATACTATTTTCTACGAAATAGCTTTAGTTAATAGGCTTGTCTGCAAAATTAAGAAAATTTGCATATTATATCGAATTTCTGAAATACTAATGGACAGATTTTAATGAAATTTGTTATGAATATACATTTTAACATAAAAAGAGCGTACCATTCAAAAGTCATTTTAAGTACGCATGATTTATCAGTAAAGCTCATACTGCATAAATGTCCAAAATCCACGTTCCCTGATATCGAACTGAAAAGGAGTCTAATATAAGGTATGTTCCTCTCTCAAAACAAGACAGGTCGCGCAGCATGACGGCATACTGGCCAGGAGGCAGTTGAGTCCCTGTGGCAGTGAATCCCACTCCTGCAGCAAGGTAGTTTTCAACTACTGGGGATAATTCTTGGACGGGAATGGCGGGATGAAATAGGCCTCTCAAGAGCGTCCCAGACGTCCTCTATAGGGTTAAGATCAGAAGATCTGGCTAGCCAATCCATGCTGTGAATATTCTCATTTTCCAGGTAGTCGTCGACCAGCTGAGCCATATGTAGACAAGCATTGTCATCCATTAACAGCAACCCAGGACTAACTGCCCCTGAAAAGTCGAACATCGGGACTAAGATTTCCTCTCTATACCTTATAGTAGTCAGGAAGCCTTTGTCAAACACATGCAGGGGTGTGTGGCCATTCAACATAATGCTCTTCCAAACCAAACTTCTATTGTTTTCATCACTAAATCTTTAAATCTGCAACCGATTTTTGAAAACTGAAGTTATCAAATGTTATTATCAAAATTTGAATAGAAATTTTTTTGATGGCTCCGAGACGTTTAAAGTGTTTTCAGAACTCTTTATGTTCTGGGAAAACAATATCAGGTACCAGTTTTGAGACATGAATGGACCTGTTTTTATGTTTTCGAGGAAAAAACCAAGTTTTGATATACGGGGATATTTTTTCTCTCTTCTTGCGAATGTAAATAATTGCATCTTGGAGGATTATTACTTTTATAATGTGTGTCCTTTAGTTAACTTTTTCTTTAATCATTTTTTCTACTTTTAAAGTGTAATAAAAAACTGAAACTGTTGGTAATTGTTGTTTTGGTTACGGGTTAATCTAATCTTCACTAAGACGATATTTTCCCTGTATAGGTGGTTAAAAATAAGGAAACAGTATGTACTACAATCTGATACAAGATGAAAATTCCCAAGACATGTGACGAAGGCCAATTACGTTTGCGTAATATTTTGTTGCCGCTTTAGCCAGTTTCACCAATTCTTCTCCATCTTTTATTTTCTGGTCTGTTCCTTCACTCTTAATTCTTTATTAGTCATTCGGAATTAAGCTAATCATGGGTTGGCAATAATGGCACATAAAAACAGTCTGTGCATGTTCTAACTATTATCTGATAAGCAGTGACATCTTAAGCATAATCGCTATTGAAATTGAGGAATGAAAATTCGAGTGCTTTGCTATTGATTACGCGTACTTTTTCCGATGTCTGCTGCTTGAAATGTCTGCATGTCTGTTTCCTATTGTACAGGAAAATATTGTTTAGAATCGTATTACTGAATTTGACAGTCAGCATATCATTACAAAATTCTGCTTTATGCTTGCATATTCATTACCCAACAGCAAGATATAAAGTTTCCCCGTTTTGATTTAATTTTTAAATTTTAAGCGGGGCAATATATTCTTCTTCTGTATAGTGGTTATAGATTAGATGTGGTCGCGTCTTAGATTACTTTGCATTAGAATGGCGCCAGCATTAGAAAAATATCGACCAGGGCGCCGAATGATTTGCCGTGCAGATTATGCATGCGAAATATTTAGTTAGGCTTCTAAAATTGTCTGTTTAACTGGGTCACATCAATCAAATTTAATCCTCTGTTTGCATTGTCTAAGCACAGATTCAAAAATAAATGTGCGTCTTTAATTGATCGTTTTTATATTCATGCGTTTCTTTTGTGTGTTCTCGTTTGATGAAAATGCCACATTAGCCTGAATAAGACGGTGTTTTTAATTTTAAAACCCGTCTGAAAACCACACCAATCTTTTTTAAGCACAGCGTAATAATTTGATAAGATAATTTATCACGTGTTCCTGAAAATTTGCTTTTCAAGAGCTATCTGCTTTATGTTACTTAGAAATATGATTTTCTTATAATTTTTACGCATAATTTCGTATATTTTTATTGATTTAAAAGCCTAATCTTTCGGCATATTATTACTATTCTCGAAAAAATCTGCATCCAGAATCTGTAATTTCCAGAATCTAATTGCAGTTCGTATGAAATTAAATGTTTAAGCGTTTTCTCAGTTCTTATTTTGTTGCTTGCGAAATCTATTGTAAAATATTAAAATATGCCTATATAGCTGTTATAGCTATGTTTTGTTTTATTTAGCTATGATAAAGCTCTCGAGGCGTATCTGCCTAAGGGGAGGGATGCCTTCCTGGAGGACTTTCTAAGGAAACTGGCTCAGATACACATTACACATGTTGAAAACCACGAAAACAGCCATGCTGCCAGACCGCAACGTTCGCCGGGATTCGATCCGCGGTCCGAACTACTAGTGTTCAGCGATTCTACCGCTCGCCTACTGGTGGCACATATGCAAATATGCATGCACGTTAATTAGGTTAATTAATTAAGGCAAAGCAACACGAGAGCTATCTGCCTATGGGGAGAGGTGCCTTTATGGAGGTCTTTTTAGAGGAAATGGCTTGTAGCTGCGTTACACATGGAGAAAACCACGAAAACTCACGTACCGCCATGCTATTCACTATGATTTGAACCCTGATCAGACTACTAGCGTTCAACGACTTTAACGCTTGACCGCGGAAAGGCCAAATATA